TAACCTTTATGAAGAAAAGGTTTGCGTCTGCTTTGTATCTACTTCAAATGCTATATTTCCTGTGAGAAAAATATATTTGATAACAAATATGAACTCAATAAACATTATTAATATAATAAATAATGCTCAGTTATATTGAAATTGTACATTCACTATATGTTGTTTAGCATATAAGATAAGCATTTCAGGATCAAGAAAACTATCAATTCTTGCTGATTAGGAGGTTGATGTTGAAGAACATTAACGAGGACCCAAAGATATATATCTACATTTATATTTTATCATTAGCTAAAGAATAGTTTTCCTTATAATAGGAAGAGGGGAATATGGATAAGATTTGAAGTTCAGAGACAGGAACTCATAGAATCTTATTGTGTTAACTTTACTTTTCTCTGTGAAGAGGAGAGGCCATGTAACTGGCTGATGTAAGACTTAAGAAAAATGGGCAATAATTACAGTAGTAATTGTATTCAGTGTGCGATCAGTGTTAATGGCCAAGCTGTAAATGATATTGGGAAAATAGTCATGAAAATGATAGTAGTAGGCCTCCAAACTGGGTATGGGGAAAAATGAAAACAGGAGCCATTTATGAAATAAGGAGTTTTCAGGTTAATAGGTGTCCTGATAAAGTCAGACAGCAAGACTTCAGAAATGATGGGTATGGTCAGAATAAAAGTAAATCTAAGAAGTGTATAAATTTGTGATCTCATGTGTGGAACAATTCCTGTTGATGAAACGTGACCATTTGAGAAGGCTATAAAAGGAAGACAATGAGCTTTTAAGGAGGCAAGTAGAATTTTAATAAAAAGCCATTCAACAACTGCATATATGCCTATCATGCTAGGCACTAGTTTTGCTAGTGAAAGGGGACTCCTTTGCAGTGTCACAGGAAAGGAATATCAAAGTGCACAGGCATGGAAACGTTTACATGTCGTCATAAGGTTTTACTGGGATGAAGGGAAATAATACACAGTCTGGGATGTAGAGGGCGGGCAGGTCCAGCAACAGCTGCCTCGAGACTCCTGATAATCCTCCAGATACCTTCTTGGTTCTTGATAAAGAACAAGATCCATTCAAACGGCCCAACCCAATTTCTGATTCCTCCCTGGCTTGAGTTGGGCCCTCCCCTTAACCAGTCCCTTTCCTGAACCTACCAGAGTCCACACTCCTTAGCCAATCTGACCCTTTTCCTAGATTTTCCCAGGCTAGGTTGTGTCCCTTCACATCAGCCTTTTGGCTTCTACAGCCAAGCTTGAGAGTAGAAGGACCTTCGCTGTGCCACGTTGACTTCTATTGCCCATGTCCAAAAGTTCTATTAGGACAGCTAGTCTCTAATGTACCTGTGCCCAGCAGAGGTATTTCCCCTCCTCTTTCCTCTGATAATCCAGTAGAAGGCTGGCAGCTCCCCAGGAGGAGGCTTTCCTGCCAGTTTGGAGAAGTAAATCTCCTCGGGGGTCCTGGAGGGTGTGAATGAGTCTACAAATGCTATAGCTTCCTAGTAAACTTAATGGAATGCTTCCTAATCTCTGATTCAGTTTCCCAGTTTAGTAAATTTAATATTTAATTCAGCTATTTTATTAAGCTCAATGTCTGATTCCCTTTGCTCTTCTTTTTTATTTATAACCACTTACGCCAATACTAGGAAATAAATAATTATATAGTTTTAAAAAATAAAATAACTTTGCATTTAATGGATGAGAAAAGTAAATATACAGATAATAAAAATGTAATAAAACATAACCTGTGATAGAAATAAGAAGAAATTGCTTTGGATATAACCAGTTCAGCAAAAATTGGGCAAAGGTTGGACAGCCCCAAACACTTCACACAAAAAGTTTTGCCAGAACAGATTAACCAATGAATGTTAGCCAAAGGCAAAGAATTTTAATAGAATTTATAGAAAATTAACTTAAAATTTAAAATTACTGACTATTCAATACCTGATAAAGTTACTTAAACATATAACAATATGAAATATCTTATTGCTTTGCTTTTCATAATGCAACATATAAATTCTGTGAAATAAATAGGAAGACCATATTGATATTAATTAAAACCCTGTTTTAAAGACATTACTCAGAGGTACTTTAATTTTTTACTTAAATATATTTTTGCATACATATTTGAATAACTAAAATTATGTTAACTTAAATATGCATTTATTTGAAGATTAAAATTTGTTGGCATTAAGTTGGGCTTTGAATAGTTGATATTAAATGCATTCTATGATTTTAATTTTGTTTCCTTGAAGTTTCAACACAATTCCTAAAATGGTTCAGTAGCACTTTCTATAAGATGTGTATGGTTAAATGGGGGCCAATGTTAAACAGAAGGACCACTTATTCAAATATAATGATATATGTAAATATTTACAGAAATTTTGTTTTGATTTAAAAAATGTAGACATTCATAATATCATAATGAAGGCAGTTGCTAACAAGACAGCTCTGGTAACAATTTATATTCAAGACAAGCAAGCTTATAGTGGCAACTAGCAAAGTCTCGTTTTATTCTCTGAGATGTGCTCTGCCAGCGTTCTTCTGTACCAGCTGCTCCACAACATTGTCAACCACATGCTCTTGGAGCTGCAATATGTCTTTAGGCCACAGAGCAGTGGAGCTGGTGTGTTCTCCATAAACATTCAACTTTGGTAATGAGATCTGATTTCATGGCCTGACAGAAAAAAAGTAAACTTTAGATTTATCAATGAAAGCAAAATACTGATATATTAAAATATTTTTGATTATATGATAAGATTTAAATTTTTGTTAAGTTTTATTAAAGTCAGCAAAGTGTGGTAAGACATTAAAGGAACAGAGGAGCCCAGCCAGTATAGCTCAGTGGTTGAGCATCAACCCCTGCACCAAGAGGTCGCTGGTTTGATTCCCGGTCAGGGCATGTGCCCAGGTTGTGGTCTCGATCCCTAGTGGGGGATTGCAGGAGGTGGCCAGTCGATGTTCTCTCTCATCAATGTTTCTATCTCTCTCTCTCCCTCTCCCTTCCTCTCTCTCTAAAATCAATAAAGAAAAAAAATAAAACAATAAATAAATAAGGGGAGAAAGGAGGTAAATCTTCCCTCATTCGTTTTGCCATGAGTTGTTATACATGTGAAAAGAATGTGCAGTCAGTCCCTGTTGACTCATGATAGTGAGAAGGGCAATACAGATAGTGCTCAGATAATCTAAGAAGCAACACTAAAGGTGAATACTGCTTTCTGTGAAGCTAGGCCCTTTAAAAAATACTTTTTTCAGTATTTTCGATTTTCCATTCTGTGTTGGTCAAGCAGCTATGAAAATGTTGCATATGACCAGAATATCAAAAGTGATAAACTTTAAAGAGATTTAGAAAGACAAAAATGTTGAATTGTATTCCATTTAAATCTTTATAGTAAAGAATTTGGTATCTGATGTTTTTGGTGGTTGTCAACTGCAGTTTAAATGCAAAAACCTAATACAGATCTAAATGAGTTTTCTTTGATACTGTAGACTAAAAGTATGCTAATAGAAAGTCCAGGTGACATTTATGGATGTTATTTCCATGTAAATAATGATAATCTTGGGCTAAATTCCAAACTTGGAAGAAGTTCCGTGTGTTACAATGAAATCTGTCGCGGAGGCGAAGGAGGAGATTAACAGAGCAGCGGGGCTGTTTTCCACATTAAACTTCTATGCCTTTAATCTCCTTTCCCATACAAGGCAAAGAAATATTTGTTTATGTCCTATATCAACAAGGCTCAGACCAACTGAATGGTACAAAGAAGTAAACTCACTCAGATCTGATCCAATAAAAACAAGACTGAGTTAAGTATTTCATGTTAAGTTTGGAAAATATTACCACCAAACTGGATCGGTTCCTGAAACCCCAGGCCATTTTTCCATCTGGCACTGTGGTCAGAAAACTGTTCCAAGTGTAGCACTCCATCCCACCGGCCCACCAGGTTTTCAAAACCCACACTTTCCGAGTAGATTCTCATGAATGAGAGAAGAATCAGACATTTTGTCCATGCATTTGCCGGAGGAGCAGCCTCATGTTCCTACTTGCATGGATTTACAATCCAATTTTGTGTTAAACTTATTCTGTCTACCTGCATGCTGTTCTCTTGTGATTTTTTCCTCTGCAAAGTTATTTAAATACTTTATACACAGTAAGCTCAGTTTTAATTTGAATCGTTTTTAACAGTGCTTTCTTTATATGTGGTCAGACATCCCAGTTTCACTGACTTAATATATATAAACTTCTTTTTAGGAAACTTGGGTATTGTATTGGCGTTTGTTTATAACAATAGTGTTGTCATATATTCAACTTTTATTTTTTTCATTTAATAAAAGAGCAGAAAATAGATTAATTGAATAAAACGTTTAAAACAAACAAACAAAAATATGTCAGCATTAAATTTTCACCAATAGTAGGTGATCAGTTAGCTATGGAATGGACCTGATAGTGAGTTTCTTAAAGGTAGGGTAAATACATTTTATCATTGGATGAATTCTCTATCACAATACTTCACTTATAGCACATACCCAACAACTTTTATTACAATTAGTCATACATATAATAAAAACTTAATGTAGAATGTTTCTCTTGAAGGGAGATTTTCTTTGTAAAACTGTATTGCTAAGCTCCATGTTTCCTCATTAGGTGTTTCAAGATTAAGGGACATTGATTTAAATACAGATGAAACTATGTTGTGTATCATAAACATAAGTTAATTTATTGCTTCTAGAATTATTCCCCCTACCCACCTACCTATTAAATCAATGACATATAGATGTGTATCTCTTTGCGTCAAAAAATAAGAGAGAACGCCAACAAAGAAAGTGCTTTTTCAAGTTATTAAATTCAGAAATTAGATTAAGAAATTCTTAAAATCTCAATTGTTTTAACACCTAAATTAGTTTATTTGGTCATTGTGTTAGTCTACATGCTGCCGTAATAAAGTACCATGCACTGGGTGTCTGCAGCAACATCTATTGTATCACAGTTCTGGAGGCTGGACGTCCATGATCCAGGAGTCGGTGGAGTTACTCTCGGGAGAGCTGTGAGAAAGAACTGTTTCCGCTCCTCTCTTCCAGCTCCTGGTGGGTGGCTAGTCATCTTGCTCTTCCTCAGTCTGTAGGATCATCACGCCGATCTCTGCCTTCACCTTCATATGACACTCTCCTTATGCGTGTCTGTTTCCAAATTTCCCCATTTTCTTGAAGACAGATTACATTGAATTAAAGCTCATTCTGGTGAACTTATTTTAGCTGAATAACCTCTGTAAAGACCCTATCTCCAAATAAGGTCACTTTCTAAGATAATGGGGATTAGGACTTCAACGTATGAATTTTGGGGAGATACAATTTTACGCATAGCAGTCACCATATAGTAAAAATAAAAGATATATGAGATAGAAGCCTATGTGTTGAAAAAAAATTGCTCTTAAGAAGGCAATTTATGATTGTCAGAGAAATGGTATAGCTGTTTGACAGAGGGAGGTATGTAGTATATAGATGACTTCAGGGCAATATGTCCAAATAGTACAAAATTGCAAGTGTTAATTTCCTCCTGGATGTTGCAAAAAGCATTAAAATTTTGTAAACTAATTACATAAAGTCTTGGTGATTCAGTAATAGTTATAGCCACATATGAGAAAAGGCAATGGGCAAAAGAAAATGAAAAAGGTGATAGATGACTGATAAACTGACTGATGTGGTCTATATCTGTGGCATCTAAAGGTTTCACTGTACTCTTACACTGATTTATAATTGATACAAAGTAAAGTAATCTTATCTATATTTATAATAACCATATTTCTATTTTTATTAAAAGGAAATTTCTATTTGAAGTTTCTGATTAAGTGAATCACTCCATAATTTTATTTTTCTCTTATTATCCTTATCCTATATCTCACATTAAACTACTCTTTTCCAAAAATAATATACCATGTGCCTTGGTTACATTGATACATGGAAATATAAAATTGCTTTTACTTTTATTTCCCAAGAAGTACAATGCTTCCATGTAATTTAGAGCAAATTAAATTCTTTTGGAAAAAGATGAAAAGTATACATTTTAATACATTTAAAACATGTATCAGAAAGTTCTTGTCTCTCCATGTAAAAGTCTTTCGCTTTGTATTACTGTGGTATGTCACTACTTGATTAGAAAAGAGAGCCTGAGGTTATTGGGGAAAGCCATGTTTATTATCAGCATTTATTTAATCCAACCAGTTACTTAGAAGGATTAGACAGTGATCATTATCTGTATAATACTATGAGGCAACATGTGAAGTAAGAGAATTGTAAGACATGATCCCTGCCTTAAAGATCTCAGCGTATACTTAGAGTCACAACTAAAATGTTTAGAGTCTAAGACCTGTAGGCTATAATCCATATCTACAAAATGTACTTAGTGCAAAAACAAAACAAACAAAAAACACACCAAAATTAGAATGTTACATTGAAGCTGGACCCCTTGAATGTCTGCATTTTTTCTAAGTTCTGAAGTATAAGTTAAAAAGATACTTAGTACTTACAGCTCCAAGCCAAGCCTTAATGGAGACTGAGGCAAAAGAAAAAGATAAGTAATACTGATCCTGCATTTATTTAACTTCTTACATCTTATCATGGAACTATGGCATTAATTTCTGTTTTTAAAATATAGCATTGAATGTTACTTATCTTATTATTGAGGAGGTGGTTGTTGTTTTTTTTTGCACCCTCTTAAATTTTGTACCCATGGTGAGTGCTTCCCTGTGCTCACCCTAGTCTCAGCCCCGAGTACTTGTATTTAATACTCTTTTCCCTGTTTACATTGTATATCATCAAAGATTTCCTCATTTTTTTTAAAAAGTCAGTGTTTGGGTTTCCATTTTGCATGCATAAACATGAAGTTTATATTTTTTAAATGTTCCATGTCTTTTGTGAGCTGCCGTAGTGCACCAAACCACAGCGCAAATCAGACATTTACAGACAAAGCGGACAGTTTAGATTAATGCCAACATCTCAGCTTTCACTTGATTTTTGTGTAGTCTACTTATTCATGTGAAAGCATTTAGCAAACCGCGAAGGCATCTTAATATCTTTGTCAGTTTTGATTGGGAAAGGTTTATAAAGTATGCTTTGGAAAGCACGACCCGGGTGTCTTAGCAGGAAAAGGGTGGTTCATGAGGAGAAAGTGTCTGTATTTGCTCATTAAGTTTATAGACTGCAAGTCTATCACATTCAGCCTTTCAATTAGGAGACTATTTTTTTTTCCTTGATGCATAATTTGAGATACATAGCATAGAAAACTATGCTGTTAACTTAGATTTCATGTATTTCTGGTATGAGTCTGAATTGTCGACTTCCCAGCATTCAGTAACGCTTCGCCGTGTCATGCTTTGGCTGGAGTCATCTGGGGGGAAGGAAAGCGCAAGTGATCATATGCCCTGTCTGAGAGGATATTCATCCTTATCAAATTGCCATGTGTTGCTTTCCCTACTTGGCAGTCCTGCCAACAACTGCACTGGCATTAAAAGGCAATTATTTCTCAGTCTCAGAGTCCTACAAGATTTCCAGAGCCACAGCACAAAGAGGACACAGACCCCCTGCAAGCACTGTGCTTATGAGGTTATTTCGCAGTGCAGATTGGACTGACATTGTGGCCTGCAGGACTCCTGGCTCCTGGGCTCGAGGAGTTTCCAAGAGCAATTACTATAAGTGAAAAAGTGTCATCTCTACCCCTACTCTTTAAGAGCTTAAAAAAAAAACAAACAACAACAACAACAAAAAAACCCCACACAACTCCTCTAGAAATATTGTTGTCTAAGAAATGGTTGTTTTTAAAATATGTATTGCTAAAATAGTCCCCAATTTTTGGAGCTTGAAAGTGATGTAACTGGATTGATAAAACAAAATATCTTACTAACCATTGGATTGCATGTGCTACAGTTTTGAATCATATGATTAGAACTATGAGTGAGGGATTTCTTAAAAATATTTTGTACAAGAGGAGTTAAATTAAAGCATTAAAAATATAAATAACTTAGTGGCTAGTGTCTATTTAGTGTCAGACCTGCATTGGGACTGAGAATTTCTGTTCATGACTGCACACTCCATCAATTGAATTTTCTAACAGTTGAGTGGAAATTTCCATATAACTTTACCAAAAATAAAAATCATTAGGAAAAGAATGTTAGCAAAGGTTTTTTTTTGTTGTTGTTTGTTTGTTTGTTTGCCTTTCCTGCCTATAGTGTCCCCATCAAAACTGATAGGTGCTATGGTCTGAATGTTTGTGTCTCCCCAAAATTTATGTTAAAACCTTAATCTCCAATGTGATGGTAGTTGGAAGTAGAGCCTTTGGAAAATTATTTGAGTCTGATTAGGGCATAGGAGTACAGCCCTTTGGTTGGATTAGTGCCCTTCTAAGGGGATGAGGAGACCAGAGCTCTTTCTCTTCACCTTATGAGGGTACAGGCAGAAGGTAGTTCCCCGTGAATCAGGAGAGCCCTCACCAAGAACTCGGCCATGCTAGACACTGACCTTGGACTCCAGCCTCTATGATGATTGTACAATGAAGAATTTGCCTAGTGAAGCATTTCTCAGAATGTGTTTCCATTAAGACATGCATGACTGCCCTGGCCGGTTCGGCTCAGTAGTTAGAGCATCCGCCTGCGGTCCAGAGAGACCCGGGTTCGGTTCCCGCTAAGGGCACGTACTTCGGTTGCAGTTTGTCCCCGGCCCTGGTTGGTCGTGCGGTTGGCAGCCACTCGATGTGTCCCTTTCACATCGATGTCTCTCTCTCTCTCTCTCTCTCTCTCTCTCTCTCTCTCTCTCTCTCTCTCTCCCTCCCTCCCAGTCTATCTGAAGAAAATATGGAAGAATGTCCTTGGCTGAGGATTAAAAAAAAAGAAGAGATGCATGACTATAGTGACATTTTTGGTTTGCTATCAGGATAATGCTGGTCTCATAAAATATGTATGAGAGTGTTCTCTCCTCTTTTATTTTTGGGAAGAGTTTGAAAAGGATTGGTATTAATTCTTCTCTAACATTTGGTAAAATTTAATAGTGAAGTCATTTGGTCCTATGCTTTTCTTCATTGGGAGATTTTTTTTTAAATTACTGATTCAATTTTCTTTATTGATCAATTTAGATTTTCTATTTCTTCCTGATTTGGTCTTGGTAAACTATATGTTTCTAAGATTTTTTTTAAATTTCTTTCAAGTTGTTCAGTAGAACCTTAGTTTAGGTTCTTGTCACCTCTTATAGGGACTGCTTCCCTAGGTTCCCTGCTAGTTTCTTCGAGCTTAGTGTTGACCTCTTAGTCTGTCTTTCACACCAGATGTCAAGGCCAAGAAGCTGATGTCATTTTTACTTCTCTTTTTCTTTCCCATTCCACATCTTATCTGACAAAAATATTTTCTGATTTTATGTCCAAAATGTATCTGGAATTAGGCTGTCTTCCTCTCACCAATGAACCACAACCACTGTGATATGAGCCACAATCATCTTCCTCCAGGATTATTGTAACATGATGTTAATTGGTCTCTTTGCTTCAATCTTTGGTCCCACAGTTTATCTCAATATGACAGCCAGAGTGATCATTTTAAATCATAAATGAAATACCAGCATTACTTTGTACAGTTTAAAATCTTCCTATTTCAATCATGGTACAAGCCAAAGCTCTTACAAAAGCCAACAACATTCTATAACACCTAAATGTTTCTCTCTCCCTCATACACACAACACACACACACACACACACACACACACACACACACCCCTCTTGCCTTGTCTTCTCTCTACCTCACCAATGCAATTCTAGTCATACTGGTCTCCTTGCTGCTCCTCCACAGTCCTTGTCCCCACTTTAAGGTCTTTATGCTGGTAATTCTCTCTGCCTGAAATGACCCCTCATTTCTCAACATATCTCCTATTTTAACTATCTTCTCTAAAATTTCAACCTGCCCAGAACCTGTAACCTCTGAGCACACTCATCCTATTCTACATATCACCTTTTCATGTACTCTGATACTCTGACATTTATAGTTTATTATATTTCATTTAATTACTTCTC